CACAAAAAAAAAAAAAAGATTCCAAGTCTCACAGGAACAATTCAGTTCTTTGGATAGCCAAGTACAGAGTGTGATGCAATGACAGTGGCTAGTTGTGTGTTAATATTTTTATTACAATTATTGTAATCAAAATATTTCTAAATTGTGCCCGGTGGCACAGTGGTTAAGTTCGTATGCTCCGCTTCGGCAGCGTGGGGTTCTCAGGTTCGGATCCCAGGCACGGACCTATGTACTGCTTATCAAGCCATGCTGTGGCAGCGTCCCACATATAAAGTAGAGGAAGATGGGCACAGATGTTAGCCCAGGGCCAATTTTCCTCAGCAAAAAGAGGAGGATTGGCAACAGATGTTAGCTCAGGGCTGATCTTCCTCTCTCACACACACACACACACACACACACACACACAATTTCTAAATTTAGTATACATTTCCCTGCCTTAGTAAACAGAGGATAGAGAGCATAACTCCATTTTCACTGGTGACTCAGAAACATGACTGCAATTATCGATTATTGCTACAACACAGCAATTCTCTCAAGAGTGAGAGAAGCAGGTACCCCTCTTGTCACGTCAGTGAGGCGGCTCCCCTCCCCCCTGGATTTACCACTGGACTGCCACGCGCTCACTGTCTTTCCTTCCATCTTCCACCTTTCCTTTCCAATTCCCCTAACCTGCTTGGCTGTAGTGGCTCTCAGCCAATGGGAGACACTTTTCTTCCAGTTAGTAAAATAAAAATCATAAAGGTTTTATCTTGCATTTTTAACTCCTCTTGATAAATGGTAGCAAGAATAAGGGTTTCTTTGATAATTCCAAATTTCTTTGATAACTTCATGGTTATTCTGAGCAGCTGAGAAACAGAATCTCATCATCAGATAGCATTATTATTATTCAAAAAGGTTTATCCATGAAATGTATCGATATAGACTTTACCTGAATTACTTAAAGCACCAGATGCATCCTATTTTTCAATTAATGATAGCAGAAATACCTCACACAAGAAAGCTCTTTATGATGACAGTGAGTTAGTCATGTTATTCAATGTCTGTAAACTACATTATGAGGATGTAAACAGCAGACAGCTCACCAGATGTCATTTAATGCAGAAGGGCAAAGTGTTCAACCTGTACACTATTCAATGTGAAGAAAAGTCAATTAAATCAAGGTTCCTTTAAAGAGAAAATAAATTTCTAGCTTTTCTTAATTCTAAAACTGTTACTTTTTCCAATTAAAGCCAGTTTAACTACATGAAGTAAGATTATACATGGTCACATTGAACCTGAGACTGACTTCCCCAAAACTGGCTTGTTTCTGAAAGATCCTAAACTATATTTGAACGAGGACCGGCAGATTACCAAAAAAAAAAAAAAAAAAAGCTAAATGGCTATTGTTATCAAAAAAAAAAAAAAAAAAAGCTAAATGGCTATTGTTATCTGAAAAAAGTAAACTCTCAGTAATAATATAACAGTACAATGTTTCAAATGGCATAATCTTGCCATTCCCCACAATTTTCTCTTTATCTCGTTGCTTTCAGTAAGTCAATAGAGCCAAGTCAGTCAGTCTTTATTTGACTAGAATTCTAAAGAAGAAAAATCATAAGCCTGAATTCAGACTGCATATGACTGCAGACTAGATGGAGAGGAGCTCCTTCTCATTTTTTGTTAATTGCTTCAGGTCACTGTAGGTTTAAGAGAAAGGAGGGAAGAAGAAAGATTCTAAAATGAAGTCCCAGCTAAATCCAGTAAATGGGATAGTGGGTGTATAGGACAGGTGGTGGTAGCGAGCAGTGCCAACCACCTTAAACATCAGTGACTGGTTATCTTGAGAAAAGCAGGGTACAGGAAGGTAGGAGATGTTGTCACTACTAGAGAATGCCCCCCTAAAGTTCTAGAATTCTCAATTTACCTTCATGATTTTTATTTTGCCATATCCATGGATTACGTGTAGTATGATATACCTAATATTTTTAAACAAATTCACTTGTTTTAACTTAATTTTATTTTTTTTTAAATTGAACTTGGTATATAATCATGCCAGCAAAAACATAAAATTGAAAATTTAAAGAATGAATTAAGTATTATAGTACAAAAGGAGAAAAAACTATAGATAAAACATATTGATTGGGGCCGGGCCCATGGCTTAGCGGTTAAGTGCGAGCGCTCTGCTACTGGCGGCCCGCGTTTGGATCCCGGGTGTGCACCGACACACCGCTTCTCTGGCCATGCTGAGGCCGCGTCCCACATATAGCAACTAGAAGGATGTGCAACTATGACATACAACTATCTACTGGGGCTTTGGGAGAAAAAAAAAAAAGGAGGAGGATTGGCAATAGATGTTAGCTCAGAGCCGGTCTTCCTCAGCAAAAAGAGGATCATTAGCATGGATGTTAGCTCAGGGATGATCTTCCTCACAAAAACAAAAAAACATATTGATTGCATTAACATGTTTTGTGAAAAAAGAAAAACTTATATGTCATAGTAATGAATAATAGCATTACAATTTCCATATGTTTTCAAGGCTTCTGCAAATTTGTCACATTGTTAAAATAGATCTTCTTTGCATATTCATGTTCAGTAGACAGTATAGTGAGATATGTCAATCCATCTTTGCTCATAGTTTACTGAAGAACATTTTTTTATTAATTTGAAATTTTAAATGTTTCTTTCACATGGAGCAATGGATATTTAAAATAGGAAAAGGCTTAAACATAAGAACACATTTATCAGAAATTCCTAAATAATCCCATTTTACAAAAGCATTCCAGAAATTTCAATACTGTCCATTTTGTTGTTCTAAATTTATTTTAAAAGGAAAATTTTTTATCAAGATCATAAATGAGGGCCGGCCCCGTGGCTTGGCGGTTGGGTGCGCACGCTCCGCTACTGGCGGCCCGGGTTCGGGTCCCGGGTGCGCACCGATGCGCTGCTTCTCCGGCCGTGCTGGGGCTGCGTCCCACGTGCAGCGGCTGGAGGGATGTGCAGCTATGACCTACAGCTATCTATTGGGGTTTTGGGGGAAAAATAAATTTTAAAAAAATTGAAAAAAACAAGATCATAAATGAAAATCACAATCACCAACCTTACATAGAGGTAACCACAAAAAGAAATACAATGGAATCGATATAATGTAACTGAAAACTACTATTGTTAGGGCCAAGGAGTCAATTCCGACTCCTAGCAACCCTGTGCACAGCAGAACGGGACCCAGAACGGGACCTTGCCCAGTCTTTTTGCACCATCCTTCTGGTGCTATATTAGACAATGCTCTGCTGCTCTTTATAGGGTTTTCACCGCCAATTTTTTTGTAAGGGGGTGGCCAAGTCCTTCTTCCCAGTCTGTCTTAGTCTGGAAGCTCTGCTGAAACCTGTCCATCACAGGTGACCCTTTTGGTATTTGAAATATCGGTGGCACAGCTTTCAGTATCATAGCAACATGCAGCCTCCACAGATGGTGACAACTGACAAACAGGTGGTGTGGTTCCCTGACCAGGAAAAACTGAAGACTAACCAGATATAGTTTTCAGCAGAAGACTCTGAATTTGATACTCATTCTTTCTTTTTAAAGGGGGAGATTAGTGTATGTTGGAAAGGTTTTAAAGATATATTAGCAATAATGGAGACTTTCTCCTTGATGGAATCAGAAGGTTTGAGGAAATTTTAAAGAAAATACCTTTATAGTTATGTAAGTCAATTTTTAACCTTATGTCCATTTACCCAACTAAAATCATGATTCATATCACCAGTGGTAGATGCATTCGCACTTTAAGAATTATTGGCATAATTCAATTTGGGTACATACATTTTACATTTTGTATTAAAAAAATTACAAAAGTTCAGTTATATTTTGGACTCTTCTGCTTATATAAGTGAATAAGATATAAGCCCATTTGAGGGGCCATAAGTGACAATAAGGGCCACTATGAAAATACACCAATGAGGACTAAATTTAGACTTCACCTCCTTGGAGTCTGTACTTTGGGAGAGCAGGGTTAAAGTTATGAAAAGGCCTTTCCCAAACAGGACAAGCCAAATCTCTCCTACTGGCAATGCCCATTTAAGACACCACTTTTGGGCCGGCCTCGTGGCATAGTGGTTAAGTGCGCGTGCTCCACTACTGACGGCCCAGGTTCGGATCCCGGGCGCACACCTACGCACTGCTTGTCGGGCCATGCTGTGGCAGCGTCCCATATAAAGAAGAGGAAGATGGGCATGGATGTTAGCCCAGGGCTGATCTTCCTCACAACAACAACAACAACAACAAAAGACACCACTTTTCACAGACCTCTGCAGATTCAGGAAAGGCTCCAAGGACACAGCCCTCATCACATAACACTCAGCGAGAAAAACCAACGGGAAGTTATACCTGTTGCATGAGCTGCTCCGATCATTCTCCCTCGAATCAATCCCTCACGCTTTGTATTTCTTATTACTTTAATGTTTCCAGGGAGGTATTTTCGGACATATTCATCTAGTTCTCCTTTCAAATCATCTGAAAATAAAGAGTCCCATAATTATTCAAACCACATGAGACATGTACAAAAGACATTTTATAGCTACTCTAAAGTTGTATCTGGTCCTTGCAACAAGAAATTATCAAGTAAATTATAGAATCTTCTTCTGCTTTCTTTTAAAAGATGGCAGCTTATCCTGTAAGGAAGAAAAAGGAAAGAGATGAAGGATAAGAGTTGGACTACTAGCCAAGAGGAATAGTTACCTTAGTTATAGACTTATTTGCATTTCCATAGCAACTAACACAACACTTCGCATAAAGAATATTTGAAATTGATATCTTGAGTGAATGAATGTTCAACTGACTGCATATAAATCAGATTTAAAATAAAGAAAATGAGATGTAAATGTCTTTTGCTTCAAAGTAATTTATTAACTTACTCCATTTCAGAATAGTTGAGAGAGAACTTCTACTGCCCCTACCAAGAATTACATACTAGCAGCAGTAAACATGTCCTTTTATTAATTTAGCACCTTCCAAGGGCACTAAATATTTTTTATAATTCTAGATCATTTACCTTTAAATTTCATAACAACTGCAAAGATCATATAAGATAATAAGAAGTAATTCTTTCCATAGTTAGTATATACACCATTGTAAATTATCAGGAATTTTCTCTTTTAGATAAAATATCCACTAAATGAAAAACAAAATACAAGTTGACATAAAAAAAAAAAATTCAACACCATAAATTCTAGAATTTAAAGATTTTATTTATTTTATTTTTTCCCCCCAAAGCCCCAGTCGGTAGTTGTATGTCGTAGCTGCACATCCTTCTTGTTGCTTTATGTGGGACTCGGCCTCAGGATGAACGGAGAAGTGGTGCCTCGATGCGCACCCGGGATCCGAACCCGGGCCACCAGCATCGGAGCGCGCGCACTTAACCACCAAGCCACAGGGCCGGCCCAAATTCTAGAATTTAATATTGAACCAACCTTCTACTTGGTCAAGACTCAGGTTCTTGGTTTTCTTAATCATTCGTTTTTGAAATTAAGTTTTGTTATTGTTTTTGTTTTTTGCTGAGGGAGATTCACCCTGAGCTAACATCTGTGCCAGTCTTCCCCTAGTTTATATGTGGGTCGCCACCATAGCATGGCCACCGACGAATGGTGTAGGTCCATGCCTGGGAACAAAACCCAGCTGCCAAAGTGGAACATGCTGAACTTACCCACTAGGCCACAGGGCCAGCCCCAAGTTTTGTTTTATATTAACCTTTCTAAATTTTCTCTTGTGAGGTTTCAATATTTACCAAGGTTTGAGATTTTTACTCCCAATGGTCTCAGTGTACATTTCCTCACTTTGTATATTTAAGTATACTGGCATACCAATTCTGTTGTTGATATAATAAGTGCCTAATAAAAACTAGGGTTATGAAAAAATATGTGATTGGCATACAATTTATCAGTGTATCTCTGCAGCTTGCTGTAATGAAAAGAGCAGAAGGTTTGGGGCAATGTGGACAAGGGGTGTAATTTGAACTCTACCACTTAACAGCTATGGGATCTTGAAGAAATTATTTAATATCTCCTTCTCTATAAAACGGCGATACAACCTATCTCATAAGGTTGAGAAGAGCCTAAATAAAAAGCCCTCCTCCATCCTTCTGTGTGTACATGAAACCACTCTTAGGAAGAGTCTATGTTGAATTAAAGAAAGGTATATAAAATATGTACTGAATCATAAAATACTGGCAGCATTCAGAGATCTAAGAGCTCTCAGAATGCAATCCACTTTTATCTGAGGACAGTCAGTGTAACAGACTTACTAGATAAACATAAGCCAAGGCATTATGCCAAGTGAAAAAAGCCAATCTCAAAAGGTCACATACTGAATGATTCCATTTATATAATATTCTTGAAACGACAAAATGCATAGAGATTAGGGCTAGCAGGAATTAGGGGTGGTTGGGGGAGGGAGGTGGGTGTGAATATAAAGGGGTAGCACTAGGGAGATCTTTGGGATGATGGCGTAGTCTGTATCTTGATTGCAGTGGTGGCTACAGGAATCTATTCAAGGAATAAAATGACAGAGCACTGTACACACACATCGTACCAAAGTCAAATTCCTGGTTTTGATATTGTACTATTAATTATGTAAGATGTAACCAATGGAGGAAACTGGGTGAAGGGGTACACAGGACCTCTTTGTAACTTACTGTGAATCTACAGTTATTTAGCAATAGAAAGTTTTTTTTAAAAAAGCCAAGGAAAAAATTTCAAGGACTAAATTTGGGTAGCACAGTTTGTAAACAGGTTACAAAGGTATTGCAGTTTCTTCAAAATCATCCTATAATCAATGGACAGGCATTTATTTGTGGGTGGCTCCACTACAACTGCACCCATAATTATGGTCCTCCTATCCACTATGTATTGAATGGTCAGCTCTGCTGATGTTGTCAATGCTACAGTGAACAACAGCCTCGATCTGACGTTACCAGTTACAACGTTCCTTACCGAAGTCACTGTCATCGTCCACAAGGATGATTTCATGAAGAAGCCGGGCTGGCGTGCGGTCTAGGACACTGTGTACGGTCCGGAGCAAGGCAGACAAGGCTTCGTTGTAGAAACAGATAACAACACTAGCGACTGGCAGATCTGTCGGGTAAGACTTGTCTTTACATCTGTAAAAACACATATGAGAAAATTCCAACATTTTCAAAGGCTCAAGTGTTAGCGTTCACCAAACATTAACTGCCCCCTTGTTCAGCCTCTTCTTTACATTACGGCAACAACAATTGTTTAAAAAGGATTTAAGAAAACAATGTGGTTTTTCACTCAAGAGTTTTACATTTGTCAATAATTTCCCCCACCAATACCTGCTACTCTGCTTCTTTTTAGGTCAACATTTAAAATTTTTGAATTTTTTTTCTTTTTTCGGTACGTAAGTTACATAAAAACGTGTTATTTTTTACTGAAATCACTGCAAGTTTATAATGCAGCACTCATAAGCTGATGTTCAGCTTCTCTTCAATGAGGTTTCAAAAGGAAATAACAGAAATATAAAACTTTCTTTGAAAATTGTATTTTTTGCCCAATAACAGAAAAAGATTTGAGTAAACTACGATATATATCAAGATAATGGAAGAGCTTCCACGTAAGCACTGTTTGATAAAAAGGGTTAGGTGACTTCAAGCAACAATAAAAAAACACTAACCTAAAGACTAAAATCTGGAATTCCACATTCTCTTGCATGGCATACACTCTTCCAATGTCTGGGTCCTGCCTACCTCCAGCCTCTTGCCATTCTTCCACTACAGCCAAAGTGATCTGTTTCAGTCCCTCTGACAAACCATACACAGTCAGGCGCCACCTAACAACGGTTCAGTCAACGATGGACTGTATACACGACAGTGGTCCCATAAGATTAGTACCATACGGCCTAGGTGTACAGGAGGCTAGACCATCTAGGTTTGTGTAAGTACACTCTATGATGTTCACAGGACAACGAAATCACCTGACAATGCGTTTGACCCATTTCTCAGACTATACCCATCATTAAGCAATACATGACTGTAGTTTTATGCCTGAATCTGTTCCCTATACAGTAGTCTCTCCCTTATCCACAGTTTCACTTTCTACAGTTTCAGTTATACATGGTCAACCATGGTAGGAAAATATTAAATGGAAAATTCCAGAAATAAACAATTCTTAAGTTTTAAATTGAGCACCATTCTGAGTGGCATGATGAAATCGCTCTCCGCCTCGGACATCCAGCGTATCCACTCATCCCTTTGTCCAGTGTATCCACACTGTATTTACCACCCAACCATTAGTTACTTAGTAACTGTCTCAGTTATCAGATCGATTGTTGTGGTATCATGCTTCTGTTCGAGTAACCCTTATTTTACTTAGTAAAAGTAAAGCGCAAGAGTAGTGATGCTGGCAATTCAGATACACCAAAGAGAAGCCATAAAGTGCTTCCTTTAAGTGAAAAGGTGAAAGTTCTTGACTTAATAAGTAAAGAAAAAGAATTGTATGCTGAGGTTGCTAAGATCTACAGTAAGAACAAATCTTCTACCCATGAAACTGGGAAGAAAGAAAAAGAAATTCATGCTAGTTTTGCTGTCATTCCTCAAATATGCACGTATAGGAACACACGTAAGAATACAGAGGGTTCCGTACTTTCTGCGGTTTCAGGCATCCACTAGTGGTCTTGGAACATATCCCCGCAGATGGGGAACTCCTGTACATGGAAAAACCTTCCCCTGCATTACAGCTCAGTCACCATCCTCTGTGAAGCCTTTCCTGACCACTCTGATTTGGAGGCCCCATTTCACTAATTCCTATCACAGCCCTCATTCTTGTGTTACTGCAATTACTCATTTCCTTATCTACCTCCCCTGCTAGACTCGAAGCCCTGCGAACCCAGGGACTATGTCTTATTCTGTTTATTTTAAGGGCTTAATACAGTGTCTAGCAAACAGAAGGTACTCAAAAAGATCTGTCTGGGAGTGACTGATTGAGCAAGCATACGAATGAAAAGCCTTTGAATAAACAAAAATAATGAAAACAGAAAAGCGAGATGATGAATAAATTCTTCACTGATTTTAATGCCTTTTTGCCCTGAATCCAATAAATAAACATTTAAAACAAACTTATGCTCAGAAGGTTATTTAATTATGTGCAGTTAGCACCTCCCTCCTTTTTCCTACAATTTTAAATTTCAAAAGAGACGCAGCAAGCTCTAGAACTTTGTCAGTACAGTCTCAGAACATGTGGCTTCAGGTAGTAAGAATGGAAATCTGGGGCCGGCCCCGTGGCTTAGTGGTTAAGTGCGTGCGCTCCGCTACTGGCGGCCCAGGTTCGGATCCCGGGCGCACACCGACGCACCACTTCTCCGGCCATGCTGAGGCCGCGTCCCACATACAGCAACTAGAAGGATGTGCAACTATGACATACAACTATCTACTGGGGCTTTGGGGGAAAAATAAACAAATAAATAAATAAAATTATAAGAATGGAAATCTGTCTCAAGTTTTCTAGTATCCAGAATAATGAAGCCTAACTGCAAAATATCAACACCATCCTCATGACCTGTTATACTGGCACTAAAAGCACTGTGTTATAAAAGGATTAGCAGAAACTAATAAGGAACATACGCTGCATTCCTTGTATCGGGCACATCTCTGTGGTAGCCCAAGCGGTTACTAATAAGCATGTTGAAGGCATGTTTCTGATAGCCCAAGTCTCGCAACTCCTGATCGTGTTCATTGAAAATCATACCTGCAAAAGAGCGAAGTTACAGTCAGTGCGTTAAACCGGGAAAGGATTACTACAATTACTATTACGATATTATGATCTTAAGAAAATCCTGACTTTAACCTCTTATAACCAGATAATAGCCATGTTTCTCAAATCTAGATTGTCTCTAGTTTCAAAAAGTAAATTGAGCTTAAAGTCATATTTTTATCAGTCTAGCTCAAAAAGCAAGTAAGCAAGTGTACCTTAACCATAAATGACATCTGCTCACTAGCCATAATCTTAAGAATATTTTCAAGATAAAGCTTACCTAGGACTAAGAACAGAGAGACTTAATGACGATTCTTCCCATAAAAGCAATAGATTATAGAATCCACAAAGACCTCAACAGGCCCCAATTATAGGCAACCTTTTATATGAACCTCTCCCCTAAAAAAGACTATTGATAAATCTTTCTATAAAAAATCTCTGGCTCTAGAATTTAATCAGCTTCACAGTCAAGAAAGTTCTCCACAGATGTAATCAAAATCACCATAACTTAACATTCTTGCTCTAATATTCTGTCAGAAATCTTACCTTTACATAGAACAATAAAGTCTCCTTTTGCTTTCTCTTTCCTGTATCAAATCTTTAGCCTCTCCTCACAGAATGACTCCCTTGTAGCTGCATTTCTCAAAGTCTGGTCATGGAAAACTAATTCCACCAGACATTAATAGAAGTTAAAAAGAAAAAGGATTGGGCCGGCCCCGTGGCTTGGTGGTTAAGTGCGCGCGCTCCGATGCTGGTGGCCCGGGTTCGGATCCCGGGCGCGCACCGAGGCACCACTTCTCCGTCCATCCTGAGGCCGA